GCAAATATTTACATTAATCCAGACAACGAGGAGGTGGGGTGGCAAAATGAAAGCCATATTTGTCCTAAGAATTATGTCACTGTTCCAAACACAGCTTCTCTGTGCAAAAAGCGAGGAGCATTTTAATTACCCTTCTCCTCCCCCCTCATCAAAATATTTTTAGGATTACTTGACTGTGCTAACTATGTGATAGCCAGTTGTCAGGAACAAAGGGCACTGTATTCTTGAGAGAAAGAGATGGCCTTCTGAGCAATCAAAATTCTCAGCGACGCATAAAAGGAGAATAGGTTGTCCCTAATTTGATCATTTGTGATGTCAACTGGGCAGTTAATAACTGTGCCTAAATAATTGGATTGCAAAATACAAAAATATTGGGATAGTCCTCTTACACTCACAGGAAAAGACTGCCTTTTAGAAAAACATGGCTCTTAAGAAATGAATAGGGGAAAAATAAATATGAATTACTGTTAAAAATCTTTTTATGTTTGTGTACTTCTTTAATAAAACTGTAGCACTTTTTCTTCAAACATTTGAATAGCCCACAGGAAATTAGTATATCTTAGAGCTAGAACAAGCAATCTGGGAAGATTACCAAATGCTAGGCTGATAATTTTTTTTTCTTGGTTTAACAAACACTTTAGTAGAGTTCAGTAAACTCAAAATGTAGAGGAAGCATTCAGATTTGTTTTCTATTTATAAAACATTTAGACTGCCTCCTGCAGCAGGTCAGATCTGTCCTTAACATACTGAAATCCCTTATCCTTTTGATGCACACAGGACTGGGTGCATTGATAACTACTCTGTTATTGTCTCTCTTCCTTCCTTTCCTAGAGAAATGTCTTTAGTTTGCCTTTTTTTTGTGATTTGTTTTTCTCTAAAAAGGCAGCACAATCACTTCATTACAAATACAACTTTATGCTGTATTGCTTAATTCTGATTTTCCAGATAAGCCATATGCTATTGTTTAGACATTCATCCGGTAAGATGATGGGAACACTTCTGACAGCAAAACTTAAACAAAGAATTAACCGAGTAATTTTACACGAATAACCTCACATACAATATTTATTGTTCTCTTTCTATAGTGGTGGTTCTTGGAAATTAACTTAGAATGCAAAAAAAAAATAATATTTAAGTCAAAAAAGAGGTTTTCTTTCTTCAAAATGAAATAGTAGCACCAGTCATATTGCCAACAATAAATAGTTTACAACTAAAATTTTTAAAGCTTAAAACCTATTTTTAATTCAGTATTCCAGTGCATTCTCTTAATGCTCTACAACTTTAAATAGTTCTGACAAAATCTCACATAATGCCATCTGAAAAAAGTAACTACTTTTTGTTTTTTTAGTGATATAGTATAGATTGAAGACAAACACTGTCTCCAACTACATTAAAGAGAAACACAGTATACTACAAGACAGACCTTACATAAAAAGATGATTCGTTTTATTTTGTACTTTGTCCTTTGAGTTCATTATTCTTAAATCAAAATTTATTCTGTTATTACATTAAAGTTTTCCTTCCCAAAACCAAAGCAGTATCCTTTCTAAACTAAAAAGGTTTCAGCAGCCTCACAGGTTTCCAGAAGATGAACAATGTTGTCATTATGTGAAAGGGTTTTAAAGGACTATAATGTTATAGTTGTCAGCTATAAAATTATGGACCCAGCAATGCTGATAAGTTTGCACTGAGGACAATTGTTCCCAGGTAAAAGTATGATTTCTGACTTTTGAGCTCAATCTGCTATTTTCTTTTTATATGAATGTCAGACAAAAATGGTGGCAGGGGGGATTAAAAAATTGCACAGGAATACCAAAATATTTTTTGCAGCTAATTTTTGGAAAAAAACCCAAACAAAACAAAACAACAAAACAAAATGGGAAAAAAACCCAAACAAAAACAACAACAACAACAACAACAAAACAACAAAAAAACCCCCACCAACAACCCATCCCCCAACTCAAAATTCTGTCACTAGTATTTATCAGATATTTGTTTCATGTAGTTCCCTAATTGTAACTAAAAGACCCATCTTTTCAAACATTCTATTTTTGAGACTGAACCCAGGAAACCAAGTAAGATTACAGGAAAATGCCAGTCCTGAAGACCAGATTAGTGGTATGCCATAGCATAAAAAATTCCATGGGGGGCAAAGAAATTGTTTTATTTTCCCTCTAGACATACTTAGCAGGGAAATTTAATCTTTGGCCAATGAGAGCGTCAAGTGCAGGCAGCATTAATCTCTTTTTAAGTTATGTAAGGGAAAAGCTTCTATTTTTTTCAGGGCAGGATGCTCTTATACTGTTTCTATAGTCAATTCATAGGTATTCTGAGAAAGACAAACTTGCTCAAAGAGAGTACATCTAAAACAAAACAAAGCCTCCTTTGCTGAAGGTGATTGATGTTTCTACTGATCTCATGTTTACTGGGTATATGTTAATTCTTTATATCAAAGACACATCTTTTAGTCTTGGTTCAGAAGTGTTGGTAAGATGAAAAATACTAGCACAGGTTTTTTCGACAGCTTAGTAACTGCTTAAGATTACAGAACAAAACCCTCACAGTTTCTCAGTCAATATTATAGGGTTATATGAGATGCAGCTACATGGTGTAACCAGACATTACTTCAGACTACACTTCACCCATCTTGACTAGCCAGTTCTTTTTCAAAGGGAAACACAGAGAAAGATTTTTGAAACTTCAAACAACAGTTCCACGGTACTTCTAGCATTTTAACACTCCCTTCAAAAGTCAGGTCTCATTTTAAGATATCCCAGATTTCTTTTTTTTTTTTAGTCATCTTGTTTGTATTCATAGAATAATGCTAATTCATCTTTCAAATGCCAAGAGACTGTTCTGCCTTTGGTCTCCCAGTGTAGTGTTTCGGGCCCACTGATGGAAGATGCAAGAGCTCCTACTTGGTTCTTCATAGTTTCACAGCATTTGTAGAGACACAGTCATGCAACCTTGAGATCAACAGTAGACCTGGCATCTGGCAGAGAAATTTTAAGGAATCTTAACTGCTCTTTTGAACGTGCCTCAAAACTTCATAACCAGACTGTTTCAGCAGAATCTTTGAAGAACTGCAGTTTTCAGATGTGAACATGTTAGCTTTTTTTTTCCCCCTGCTTCAGTAGTTTGTTTGTGAACCAGAGCACATCCACTTACTAGTTGGTTCCTATTATTAGCAGGAAAAGGTTATTTTAAAACAGAAAGCATTAATTTACCTTATTTTTGACTGTTCCTTATTGTCTCTGAATTACACAGGTTCCATAGTGGAACGTCTTTCAAAGACAAAAACTTCAATGGTATGCAAATAAGAATGGACTGGCTGTTGCTCATCACCTGTGATTTTACAAAGTATCTTGAAATTGTTTGTCGTGCCTGAAATCAAACTGAGTGTCATAAGAGCCAAGTGACACAGAATAATAAATTATGTTTGCTATTTTTACCCTTTTTTTAATACTGTTGCTTTTATCCATTTGAAACAAACATAGCTTTGTAAAGTACTTTCAGATACTTTGCTCAGTACTACTGAATCCTTTTTATTAGTTCTGTAAATGAGATAAAAAATTACAAGGAAGTCCATGCTAGAAGGGGGTACCCAGATCACTTTTTACCACACAAGGATTTTGCAAGGCCAAGGTCAACCCGATAAAGTGGAAGCTGGAAGAAATATGCAAACTTTAAAACCAAAGTTGAAGACCCAATGTGAATACCTTTTAAGGAGCACTGAACGTTTTCCATTGTCTAAACAGTCAAGTATTAGTTCAGGTGTAAGTTATTTGACTAATTTTAAGAGATGATCAAATTTCATGATCTGTCTTAAGTGGCAAGTCAATTACTGACTGTTAATGAAATTAAAGAATCTAAGTCAAACCTAAATCTTTGAAGTTTTTATGCTTCAAAAATAAAACCCAAGCTGTTCATGTTCTTGGATATCAGAAACAAAACATGGAAATTCTTGTTTACTTCTAACAGTCTGCTAACACCTCTGTTTTGGCATTTGTACTCTTTCTCCACTTCCAGTCAAGACATGGAGGAATATAAGCTTCTAATCACACACAGTTTTTACTTCACCACTTCTAGTAATAGGCTTTTCTGCTCCACCTTTGATTCCCATTTAAATGGACTTCTAAATCATAATGTGATAAATCTATCACTGATGTAATTACTCCTTATCCAGTATTACAGATGTGAATGGGTGACTGACAGCTATAGACTATATTTTTCTTGAAGTAATTTCAGTGTAACTTGAGGGGATATTTGAGAAGGTATGTTAAGAATATTCTTTAATTTTTTACATAGCAGAAAAATTTTATGTGCCTCTTGGCCTGCTGCCCAAAATCTCAGTTGAGGAAGAAAAGACTCTACATATTGCACATTCAGTAGATTCGGAGGGAGTAGTCATCCCAATATTTAACTTCCATGCCAAGCAATAAAGGTAGAAAAAACTTTCAAGATAGCCACACATTTATATCAAGGATTTAGTTCTGTTCCCTAGATTAAAATAATTTAAAGTAGTAAAACCTATTTTGAATTCACAGTTGAAGTTCTATTTAATGTTATACTGACAAATAATTTTTCCCAAGGTTTTTAATTCAAACCTTTTTTTTTTTTTAAGCTATGTCCAGCAGTCATAAACTTGGGAAGGAATTAAAAAAAAAAGTTAAGTCAGCACAGCATTGCTATTTGAGGGCTTGTCTCCATTTTTCCTCAAGCAATCTGAAATACCCAGAACTGAGTATACCTCAGAAGCAGAACTGAGAAGGCCCATTCTTGGAAACCACACATTTCTTCATTATTTGAAGAAATCATGATGTCCAAAGCAAAACATATATGTCTTGGTTTTTAATTTTGAAAGATATCTTTTATATTAAGAAGCAACGGAGCTAACCCACAAAACATAAATTGCCACTTTCAATTTCTTGATTTTTTTACCCGTTCTTCACATTTAATGTTGCTCAAGACTGGACAAAACAGATCCATAGAAACATGGCTTGGAAGAGCAAAACCTTATTGGATTATTATTTTATTCCAGAATGAACCAAAACAACATATATTTATGGCTGCACGTGCTAGCTTTATTCCTTCAGAAACTGTAAAAAAGTTCTCAAATGGGAGACTGCCTTATACTTACTAAACATTACTTTCTTCGGTGAGGAAATTCATGTTAGCCATCAAATATGGAAAAAGAGAATATTTTTAGATGATATGTAAGTTTCAATACCTCTTTTGCTATCTGTACACTGGAAATACACATTCATTATGTGTTAAAGTACCTAATTCAATTCTATTTCTTTTATTCTATTTTTTTCTTAGTGTAGAAGGATAAAACCTTTGGGGGTTTATTATAATTCTGAAGCAGTTAAAAGAAAAATCTACCTCCTAGTCTTCTGCACAAAAGCATGGACCAGGAGAGTAACTGTTTTAGTTCTCAGCTGTTTTTATTACAACTGACTAGCTGCAGCTCTCAACTGCACCAATAAGCACAAAAAGGTTAAAGCAAACTCTTACTTGTGAATCAAGCAACAAAAGGACAAACAAGGAAACAAAATGACAGCATGGCAATACTGCCGAATAAAAAAAGCAAACTTAGAATCATAATTTAACATCAAAATTAGACAAGAGACATGAGAACACTGCAAAAAGAAAGAAACCCACACAGAAAAGTTTAGGATATTTTATATTTCAAGTGAAGACACCCTAACGAAACCAAGTTTCATTGCTTATAAAAGAAAAAATATTTTTAGAGGTATTTTCAAGATTCAAATTTAAGGCTCAGTAAGAATAGTGTCTTTGAAAAGACCAAACCTGGTAGTCAGTAAAATTTATGGCAACATATATTTTTTAGAAGGTATTTTATTGCTAACAAAGACAAAATTGTTGCTCCCATTCCCTGATGTCTCATTTTAAAGATAAAGCTTTTCTTCACCACTTTTAAAGACCTGTAAATACAGCATTGTAAAAAATTAAAACAAAAACAAAAATAGAAAGAAAAATTATTACAATAAATTAATAAAATGAAAATGTGAGGAGAAGAAAAGCCCGACCTATCAAGCAGAAAATGCATTAGAAGTAACACAAAATTTATGCAGTGGAATTGAAGTATCATTTTATGTTCTCCTTCCAAGAGAACTTCGGGGCTTTTGCACATGAAATAAAATAGCAGCAAAGAAAAAGAATAAGTACAAGGGCATTTGTGTCGCACTGGAACATTTTCTTATTAGCCAAAACAGTAGTACTCATCAGAATCAATTTTGGGATGCTTGTGAAGAGGTTGTGGGTCCTCTGTAACAGAAGAATCACTGAACTTGTCCATATCTGAAGGGGTTTGGTGACCAGGGACATCATCCACTAAGGTGTCCAAATAACTCCCCACTGATATTCCATCCAGTCCATCACTACAGTCTTGTAAACTGTTACAGCTGTCATGAAGGGATGTCTCCTGACTTTCCAGCAAGCTGCACAGGCTGCCACTCAAACTGCTGCCCCTGCTGGCAATGGCCTTCTCTTCAATCATCCACTTGATTGATTCAATACTTTCATTGATGATGAGGAGCTGGCGCATCAGTTTCACATCAGTGGCTCGGAGATTAATCTATAATGCAAAAGGGATTCAAAAAATTACTCTTTTTTCTTCCAAATCAAGCCAAATAGCAGGCTGGAGGCAAGAAATGGATTAAAAGAAAACACATTAAAAATCCACCTTTCAAATCTACAACAAACATATTTAAATAACTAGTTAAAAAAAAAAAGGTATTGATATACTAATGTTTTCAATGAAGGTCAAATGGGAACTTAATCAGGCTACCTAAGCAGTCCATTAATGGGAGTACTAGTCAATGACAATATTTATACACAATCTGTTACAACACTATTTAGATGAGAAACACAGCTGCTGTGACAACTCTTGGGGATAGCATTTCACTAATCAGAAAAGAAAGACACCAAGCCATTTCTATTTGCAATGACTCTAAGCTACAGGCACCTAAGCATTCACCCGAAGTTATCCTTACAATGGTTACTTGCAACCTAAAATTTTCAGATGTGCATCATTTGGAAAAAAGCTTGTAGACATTTAACTTTTACTCACACTACTCCTGAGTGGATGTTACTATCTGCCATATAAACGTCTGAATGTTAAGATACTGAACTTAGAAAAAATGTAAATTTTAGTTATTTAAACCTATATTAGATGAAGGTGATGAGTTCACAGTCAAAAGAGCAACAATTTGCAGCAAATAACTAAATAAAAAATGGACATTAAGTACCAACTCCTACTTTCCCACTTAGTTGTGTTGGTCAGTGCATACACACAGAAGTGTTAATTGCAATGGCCAGTGGAATATTGCATTGTTGCATTTCACAGACATACTTGAGTTAACGGACTTAATGTTTTCCTTAATATGCTAACTATATAAGCCAATTTACAAGCCACTTCAGATGACAAATAAAGATGAGGCCTAAGGGTTATATTTGTTGCTGCTTTCTCTTAATCTGAAATATCACAAGTATTGGCAAAAAAAAAAAGTGACACCTTTGAATGTCTTCACTCGAGAAAGAAAGGAAAACACAAGTAAGATCTGGTATATCAGACAGTAGATATTTTATGCTATTCTCCATGTCCCAGTTATTATACAGAAATATAGTACCTGTATTGTTCACACACAATGGACTGGAATGGAATCTGTATTCTCAGGAAGCAGAGACACTATCTTTTGCTGAGAGTAAAATCTGAACATGGTTCTTTCCATACTCAAATGCCATCTTCTCAGTACCCTAATTACATAAACCTGGTACAGGTGTTCAAAAAGTTATTTTAATGTATTCCTATTTTGCTAGATTCTGCGAAAGATTGTACTGGCTCTAGCTGGGATGATTCCTAGCAGTCCGTGTGGGGCTGTGCTCTGTATCTGTAACTAAATCAGTGTTGGTAGCACACCATGGTTTCAGCTTTTGTCAAGCAATGATTGCACAGCACTAAGACCTTTTCTGTTTTTCACTCTGCACCCTCAGGGAGTAGGCTGGAACTGAGAAAGATGTTTGGAGGTGACAGAGATGGTGGGACATAGTGCATCACTGACTTTACATCACTTGTGGGGTTTTTTTGTTTGTTTGTTGGGGGTTTTTGTTTGTTTTTGTTTTGTTTTGTTTTTATTTATTTCCTTCACTTTTTAAACTGTCTTCATTACTACCTATGAATTTGTCTTACTTTTGTTCTTCCAGTTCTCTCCCCCTATACCACTGGAAGAGGAGAGGGAAGTGAGTGAGAAGCTGGTGGGTGTCTAGTCCACTGGTGGGTGGTCAGGGTCAACCCAATGCAAAGATATTCAAGCTTTACCAGTAACAGACCTCTTAAGTAACTGTCATACGTATTCCCAGTTTCCTTCCCCAATCATCAGAATGACTTCTGAATTATTCTCAATCCAATATTCCAGGATTTAACACAGCTAACCTGGTACTGTGCAAAATAGTTTTACCATTCACATTTTTAACAATACTGTCCATCTATCATTGTTTCAGATGTAAGGTTACGAAAACAGATTGACCATTTTGTTGCTCTTCTGCACAAGCCAGTTCCACTAGTCCTACTAATAAATCATTAGAAACCATTTGCTCAGCAACCAGGTTGTCATGAAAGCAGTAAATTACCCAACTTCTTCAATGCAACTACAGACTTCAGCAACTTTCTGAATATAAGCAAGCTCAGAGACAAGTTTCCCAAAAGGCTGATTAAGAAACAGTTCAACAGAATTAGCACCAACATGACTCTAATGCAATAGCCCAGTTTAGACCTGGAGATCTCATGTATTTGAGATTCAGTTCACTGGAAATAATTTTTTGCTCTAAATACACTCACAACTTTAGCCTTTTTGTGGAATAGCCTTCCTGGAAGCAATTCTTTGCATTCCTGATTACTAGAGTTCTCCTCCTCCTAGCTACCATGTTGTCCCAGGTCTCCTGTATCAAGAATGTACTTTTCCTAAAGCAAACACTAAAAAGTAGTCCAACAAATGTCATCTTTCTTTAATATGGTTTACTTCATCATCTGCTTGATAACAAAAAGATGCTAAAATGACATTTTTTCCCCTTATCAGCTTTAGCCCAGACACAACCACATCAGTTTTTACTCACTTATGTAGCTGTAACCAATTTAACTGTTGAAGTAAACAAATCAGTCCAAGATGGTTCAGCTAAAGGCACTAAACACAATAAAATCTCACCATGTTTGACAGTTCCTTTTGTTATGCACAATAACAGGTACATTTCAGGAATACTCTAAACAAGAGTGTGCCAGAGCTAATACAGGCATTTCAGAACAGTTTCTACAGCTGCTCTTTGACTTAAAGTTAGAGCACAGCATCACCATAGGGAAGGTGTTTATTAGCATAGATCAGTCCTCAGCAAAAACTTGTGGTGTACAGAGGAAACAAGTCATGATAAGAGAGCAAAAAAATAATTATTGATACAGCCTTTTACATATTTTTGCTTAATTTGTATAATTACATCAGTGCAGATCCACAGGAAGGATCATAAATGTTTAATATTCACAGTTAGTCACAGTAAGAGAAAATAATGAAATTAAAGTGACAGCATCTTTCAAGTAACTCAGTCTGGTAGCACAGGTGGACAGATTAGCAATCAGACAGAACCAGATCTTTCGTCTGGAAGGGATAGCTGGTCTAAGCATCTGTCTGTGCCTCCCTCTCATGAAGTTTGTTCTAATAAAGTATTTCTTCCTTACACAACTAGGCTTTCTTTTGGTCGTCCATAACAATATGTACAACACTGTCTTAATACAGTCAAGACAATTTATGGGCAAACAAATGGGATTTTGTGTACATATATATGTACAGACATATACAAATGTTCATGCTATTTTTATAAATACAATGTTTTTAAAAAAGGACTTAACAAGGTTATTGCTTTTAGAATAAAACTCTTCATGACCAGGGTTGTTAACAAAGACAGTTATTGCTTCCTGGCCTTCACCCAAAGTAGTCCATTAGCTGTCCCTATACTGGTCACTTAGCTTTTGGATCAAAGTTGCACTTGCCCTCAGAATATGGGCAAAATAGACTCGTGTTTTCCTGCTGCGTGTTCTGCAGGCATAATTTCCAGTCTGGTGCAAACACAGTGGGGCCCCTTTCCTTCCAAAAATGACAAAGCTAAAAATTCTGTTCAATAAACCCTTTTAATATCTGAAAGCTGTTTGAAACTCTAGTTTCTTCTGCAGATTACTTTCTTTTAAATTTCTGAGCTCACCTGCTGCTGCTGCTTCTGACTACAGAAAGTCTGCAGGGATATTAGTGTCAATGATAAAATGTGGTCTGAGGAAGTTTATTTAAACTATTTTAGTTTCTTTTTTTCCTCAACACTTTTATGTTGTGTTCTGTAAAGAGACCCCTTGAGTGAGCCTAAATAATGAGGTATTACCTTCAAGACAAGTCTTTTAGCCAGATCACAGTGAAATAAGTCCCTACAAGACACAAAATCCTATACTTACAAGTTAATGGATTCAGGGAGGTATTTAAGTCACTCCTAACAGAAGCTCTGTTCTACATAGGGTCTCGAGCAGGACTCAAATGTGGATCTGGTGTTGGCTACTATGGAATCTGTGTTCTAAAGCAGTATGAGTTTGGGTACATATTGGGCACAATAAATGGAAGTTAGATGGAAACAGTAGCAAAGTATCGTACTCCATGGAAAGTCACTCAGAGGTTCAGCATGTGAGAAGTCTTACAGAAGATAATGAATATGTGAAGAGGGTTAGATGAAACAGGCACTGGAGCCAATTCCATCTGTTGTTAAACACTGCCGCACCCATCTCTATCACACCTTTTACAAATAGAACTTCTAACCAGGAGAACCTTTCCATTCCAAGTAGGTGTCCCTGACCACTACAGTTCAGGAATATTAATGCTACTCTTTCCTTTTTCTAGGATGTGTCAGTTGCTCCTTTCCACTTTCCTATTCAATTTCCTCTATTTCCTGTATTATTCAGGATGAACAGTTTGCCAGCTATCCCTACCACCCCTTTCTTCTTTTAAAGGCAGATTACCTCAGTTTTCCATGGAATAATGACTTCTGTGAATTAATTTGAGATGTAATTAAAAAAAAACAAACTAAAAATTAATGACCAAATAATACTTGGTTTTGCATTCTGCAGTGTCCCTTTCTTCAAAAAAGCTTGCCTTATTCCACTTTTTACTGGTGTTACTTTTGTTATTACAAACACTGAATAACAATTTTTAAAGAAAATCAATTCACAAAGAGAAAGCTGAGAGTGTGGAAAATAAACAGTGCTTAACAATATTGAATTATTCAAGTCTTATCAAGATAAAAATATAATAAGGGTCAAAACCTCAACAGTTAAACCTCATCAGCCAATTCTGTGAGAGAGCAGACATAACAAACTAAAGAGACCATAAGCAGCCTATTCAACGTCCAAAATTCAGAATATGTGAAAGCAAGCATTATTTAATGGGAGTCACCAAGTTAACATACTTACAACAAGGACAAGTGTGGTGATACACACAGAGGCTTTGTTAAACAACCACCACAAAGCAAAAAGCATGCCACTTAAAGGTCAGCAAT